CCCACGGCCGGTGGTGCTGCTCCTCCACCGAGATCACCCGGCAGGTCGTGGCCAACATGTCGGCAGCCCGCTTCCCCCTGGTAGGTCTCAGCTGCTTTCTCAGAGCCCCTGCCAGAAAGCAGCCGTGGGGGATTGATGGGGGGAGCCCTGGTAGGATGGGGTCTTGTGATGGTGGTGGGGTCCCTGCTCCCCCCTGAGCACTGGTGGCCACCATCCACAGGATGTGCAGTGGAATGACCTGGACTACATGGATGCCAAGAGGGATTTCACCTTCAACAAGAAAAACTTTAAAGACTACCCGGAGATGGTGCGAGAATTCCACCGCCGCGGGGTGAGGTACATCATGATCGTGGTGAGTGACCCACCAGGCTGGCACCAGGGTTGTTTCCAGCTGCCCTCCAGGGTGGTGATGGAGCTGCCCCCGAGGAAGGTGGGGCACGCTGTTCCCTGCTCTTGCTGGTGCAGCCCTGGCTTTGTGCCCTGCCAGGATCCTGGGATCAGCAGCTCGGGGCCTCCTGGCACCTACAAGCCCTACGACGAGGGACTGAAGCGAGGGGTGTTCATCCGAAACGCCACAGGGCAGCCCCTGATCGGGAAGGTGTGTGAGGGGAGTGGCCGTGGTCCCTGCGGGAGGGGCTTGAGTGGGGAGAGAGCTGGAGGGAAACACCCAGGGAATAGCCGTGGGGGCTGTGGGGTGCAGTGGGACCAGGGGCAGGGGGACTTTGCCTGTTGCTGCTTCCCTCCAACAGGTCTGGCCAGGTCCAACGGCCTTCCCGGACTTCACCAACCCAGCGACTCACGAGTGGTGGCACGACATGGTGAAGGACTTCCATGACCAAGTGCCTTTTGATGGCATGTGGATTGTGAGTGGCCCTGACAGAGCTGCTGCCTGCAGCTGCCTGGCTCCTGCCCTGCACCGCTGCTGGGCTCCGGTGTGGCAGTGAGGGCATCCCATCGTTTCCCTTCCCTCCCCAGGACATGAATGAGCCATCGAACTTTGTGGAGGGCTCCCAGGACGGGTGCCCCAGCAACAACCTGGAGCAGCCCCCCTACGTGCCAGGTATGGGGAGCAGGTACCAGCCTCTGCGTGGGGGTGCGGGGGGCGCCGGGAGGAGCC